AAACCCTATATAAATTGATAAGAGTTGGAGTTGACTTGACTGCACTTAACAACAACAATCTTCCTAGGGCCTTTGGGTAGGTTGGAACTATTAACCTTTATGTGCTTAACTATTTGTGCCACCTAGTGAAGGTATAATTATACTGAAATGTCACAGATTAAACTGACTTCCATTTCACTCCAATTATTTACTCAATCACAATAGTTTTTCCAACTGAACTGATAGCCTTGGAAATCAAAATGTGCTCTCTGTTCCAACTTTTCCTACTATATGAAAATCTGAGCAACTGCCACAAAGTTGCTTTCTGTCTCTTGACAGGGAAGACAGGCAGTTCGAAGTAGATGAGAGGGAGCATCTTATTAGCCAAGTCTATGCCCTTCATCGAGACCTTTAACTAAAACATTCTACAAACCTTAGAATTAAGTTATTCCTTCCTCTTTCCCTCATCATAAACAATAAAAACCAAACCAAATCAAATGTAACAGAAGGTACTTATACTGTTGTTGTTAAGTTTTTGAATGAGTTCTGACTCATAACGACCCTTTATAGGGTTTCTGAAGAGCAATTGGTGGGTCTAGCAACCGCATGGTTAATAGTCCAGTACTGATCCTAAAGAGACTCACCAGTACTTGTTTCTTCCCTAGTATAAGCTCTGGACTGTTAACTACAGTTGGCGGTTGAAACCCACTAGCACCTCCTTAGATATTCTATTTAGGGTCATATGAGTCAGAACTGACTCTGCTGCACTTAACAACAACAACAAACATTCTTGCCAGGCTATCCACGGTGTTCTGAATTGTGAGATATTAGGATGTTATCTGTATGAACACCCACCGTCAGTGGTGATTGAATGATTTCATTTTATACAGTTCTAGTTCAGATTTAATTTCTATTTGATATGTATATTAATAGATACATTTTGAAAGGCTATGTATTTGTTACTATGTTATTCAGGATCTTTAGTATGATAAACTTTAAGTTTTGTATTTTAACTATGGTTGTGGCTGACGCTATAAGATAAGTACTCTACCATACGGTCGGTTTGAACTGCAAGGTCAGCGGTTCAAATTTGCCAGTCACTCCTTGGAAACCCTATACAGGGCTGCTATGAGTCAGAACTGACTCTACAACACTTAACAGCAACAACATGTAGTACATTAGAGAATGTCAGTCAGTTACCATAAGCCTAACATACAACGTATGCTGTTGTTGTTATTAAGTGCCATCAACTCATTCTGACTTATAGAAACCCTGTGTAGGATTTTCAAGGAGCATCTGATGGGTGTGAACTGACAACCTTGTGGTTAGCAGTCCAGTGCTTACTCTACAGCACTACACCAGGATTACTACTGCATAATGACCAGTATTTCAAAGTGTCCCCACAGCATTTACACAAACGAAAAGTCATCATCAAAGATCAAAGTCCTCATCCTGAAAGACAGTGGAAGCACAGTGATGTCCAGTAATGAAATTCCATCTCCGATCTCTACACTTAAATTTTTCTCCCTGACCAGAGGAAAACAGCGATGGACCATGTGCATTTGATGACTCATGCCCAGGCAATGTGAGATTTTCCTTCCGAGAGACTTCAGCTCAGAAAAAAAAAAAATCACAGTAAGTCTACAATGTCTTCTTTGGAGCTCAGAAAACAAATTACTTCAGGGAAACTAAGAAACATGGGATAATTTGAGAAGCTTCATACAGATGATCAGGTGAAATGCACTTGAAAAAAAAGAACAAACAATTGTGCTCAAGTTGATTCTGACTTATGGAGACTCCCTGGATGTCAGTGTGAAATTGTACTGCATAGAGTTTTTAATGGCTGAGTTTTTCAGAAATAGACTGCCAAGCCTTTCTTCCAAAGCATCTCTGTAGACTTGAACTAGTAACCTTTCAGTTAGCAGCCAAGTAAGTTAGCTAGTCGTACCATCAAAGGACACTGGAAATATAATAGTAATAAGAAAAACAACTTGAAAGCAGATAACAAGACCCAATACAAGTATATGTCATTTGATTCAAAAGTCTATGCTACAGACAAGAGATCTGTGAGTTCTTTTTGTGCACAAATCTCTACAAGAAAATGAAATTTTCTTTCAAAATAGCTTTCCGTGTTTTGTAAGCCACTTCACTTAGGCAATTCTTTTAAGGCAATGTTCTCTATCTGCCTGGGAGACTTGTCTCCAAGTTATAACATAGATAAGTAAGGTAGGTGGCCAAGTGCTTTTGTGATATAATTTGTCATGATGCCTGTGGTGCATTGGAAAGCCTTCAAAACACAAATATCTAATTGTGTTCCTCAAGAAATGTACGAAAAACCTAACATGCCAAATGTTAAGAAGTTTAAGGTGAGCTCTGTGTTGTATCAGACAGAGAAATGAAGGTTATCCACAGCATGAGGTAAAGAGAAAGAGTTTGAAAAGTGAGTCAGGCTTAGCATGCTAGAAAATGCCCCAGTTCTTCCTGAGTCTTCAAAGGATAATTCATTTGAAGAAATGATTAGTTTTCAGAACAGTAATCACATCTATATTCAAACAGAAGAATCAAAACACCTTCCAAAGTCAAATATAAATTATATTAGACTCGGCACTGATACACTTTATTAATATGAATAAACAAGGACTGCTAACCACAAGGGCAATGGTGCAAACCCACCAGTTGCTCCTCAGAAACCCTATAAGGGTTGCTATGCATCAGAACTGATTCAATAGCACTTAACAATATTATACATACTTTCTATGTTAAATTGTTCAATATTTGGAGTTAAGTTTATGCTGGTAATTATTTCTCACATTAACCAGGGAATTTACCAGGGTACTATTTTCAATTTGTGCATAGGCCCAGCTTGACCTGACATCTCTTCTAATGACTCCCAGACCAATATCTACAGCCCAAATGACTTCTCCAGTTCCAACTGCTCCAAGGTACATTCTCTTAGTATCTAATTGTTATTGTAGCTTTTGTTACTGAATGCTGTCTAGCTGGTTCTGATCCATAGCAGCTCTGTATAGGGTTACTGAGGAGTGGTTGGTGGGTTTGAACCACCAACCTTTTTGTTAAAACCAACCTTGAGGTCCAGTGCTTTATCCCACAGTGCCATACCAGGACTCATAGGCTCTTCAAATACAATATAATATAATATAATATAATATAATGTAATGTAATGTAATGTAATGTAATGTAATATAATATTGTTGTTGTTGTTGTTGTTGTTA